CTGGGTCATCATCAGGGTGAATTGAGTCATTTGGAATAGTGTGATGTAACGTTTGATGAAACGAATTGGAAATGAAAGTGTCGTGGAAAGATAATAAGCATACATAACTACATGAACAGCTATATGTTTATATAGAATGTAGATTTAATAAATGACAAATGCCAAAATTCCAAAATGAACATTAACAATAATAACAGATGATTACCAGAATTCAAAGCAGCACTGAAATATGCTTCGCCATTAGGAGCAATGAAAACCACAAGCCACCAAATCATAAAGATTGAAAAATGATGATAAACATGTAAAAAGGTGATCTGTCTATCATTTTTTTTCAATATCATGATAAATGTATCCATGAACTCGAATATTTTTGAAAAATAAAACAACCAAATATATTTTGACATCTAAAAAATTTTAAGATTAAAAAATTAAAATCATTTTCTGTAAATTTTCCATTTTAAAAAAAAGTTTATCTACCTGCCAACCTTCCTCGGATCTTACTTCTGGATTTGTGAATAAAGAATAACCCTGTTTCCATGCCTCCGATAATATAGTAATGCACATATAAGCACTTAGAGACACCAAAAATAAATTATGTAAAATGCTTAATCCTTTCACACTCATTTTTTCTCTGCTGGACATTATAGCCTTACCACCAAAAACAACGACAAAGTAACCAATAACAATTAAAATCACGTGAAACGGATCCATAAGCGGCAAACGTGAAGATAATGGTGACATGTTGTTTTTTAGAAAATCATCAATGTTATTTGATAAAGATGGGAATAATGTCTTAAAAGTTTCTTTGACAGCATTTTCTAAAGGACTAACTATAGGGTCCGTTAGAACTCCAATTGTTTCTGCTAGAATTATAAAAAAATCTACTGGTGACATCTTATTATGATGAAAAATCTCCGATTAAAAATTAAAAATTTTTGAAAAAATATCCTCAAATTTTATCTTAGATTATTTATAATTATTATTTTTTAATGTTAAATCGCAATCAAAAAAAAAAATCTAAAAACTATTTAATTTATTATTTAAAAAAAATTTTTTTGAACTTTAGTAACAATCAATCAACATTATCATGAGGAAATATTATAATCCCCAAAAATTGCGTTTTTTTATCGCTTTTTGTGTAACTTCTTTGATCGACAAAAAATAATTTGCAAAATAGAGTAAGTACAATATGAAGGATAAAAACTCAAATTTAATTATTATGCTTGTTATATAGCTAGAGTTATATAATCATGTATTTTTCCGTAAAAATCATTTCTAAATATGCCCAACCACCCCAACCTACCAATAAAATCTCCAAAATATGGTTGTGGTTTTGCAAAAAAATACACAATCAAAAGTTATATATATATATATATATATCTAATATTATTACATCTAAATTATCACGTGATAAAGCAAATCACCAACCAGAATTACAATTCAAGTTACAAACGCAATTACATAAATTAATATCGTCCTGTTTATGATACCAAGAAACTAACATATCACGTATAGAATGGTTATTAGGTTTCTTGTTACAGAAGAATGTACAACTTATTAACACGATTAATGATAGACCAATGATTACACGTATGAATGCTAAAATTATATTATTTGATGACTGTTCAGATTTTGATGTTGAATGTGCTTTTGATTTTTTTTTATGTTTTTCACCTCGATTATGTTTTATAGTTGAAGTTGTAGATTTTTCTGTAATGTTATCAATTAAATTAAAAACAAAGTCTTTAAATAATAATAATGACGATGATGACCATCAACAAACCTTGTTTTACAATATCTTTGCAATAAAGATCATCAACACAACTTGCAATATTTTCATCATCTTCGTCAACAAAATGAATTGAATAACCATCTGAATCGTAAATTAATTCTGCTCCAACAACTGCAACCGAAAATTTTCCCTTTCTTTGATGAAATTCATTTTTATATTTTTTAATTTTTTTTATTATTGATTGTTGTCGAGTGCTACTATTGCTATTATTATTTGAATCGCTGCCTTCTGATTCGTCTCTTTTAATCGGTACCTTTCCAACTATTATAGCAAAAACACCAAAATCCGATCCAAACGTTAACTTTACTAGAGCGCTTTTGACTTTTTGATCATTTACATCCTTGTCATCCTCATCATCCAAATCCTCGTCCTCTTCTTCACTATAATTGTTGGTCCATTGATTCTCATATAAATATTTAAATCCTGGCAATAAATCTTTAATATCAGTTAAAATTGTTTTTTTAAATCGTAGTGGTAGCCCATCACCAAGTTTGTTTGATTCCAAAGAATAACCAGTTTTAAATAATTCATTTTGTTGTTTATTGATTTTTTTAATTCGGGCTAGATATGGTTCATACCATTCATAACAAATGTCCAAGAATATCATCATTTGTTTTTCAATTTCATTTCGACTTAATATGAATTGTAATTGACTGACCGATTGATTCATCTCTTTTGAATAAGAATCGTATTGTATAATACAAATCGATTTATCCAAAAATATGCTTGTAGGAAAATCTTTGGTGCCATTGATATCTCCATGTTTCATTGGTTTATCAATTAATGTAATTTCAAATTTGTTCTTTTTTGTTCTTTGAATTGTCTCAAAAAATTTCTGACAAATTTTTAAAATTGCAAATTGTAAATCTTTCTTAGCGAAGTTCTTATAATCGTCGTTCATGTCATCATCAACATCATCATCGTCACTATCACCGACTTTAGTATCGATACTTTTATTGCAGCACTCGACACATTCACAATCTTCCAACATTTTTTTTTTAAAAAAACAATTATGTGTATCACTCACAAAGTTTTTTTTATTGTGTGATTATATATCACATGCTAATACATTATTAATCATGAAGCACAAAAAAAAAATATTGTGCAGTGTAATAAACTTTTATTAGTTTCATAAATTGAATTGATTCTCGACAGAAAACTTTACAAAAGTCTTTTTGATACTTTGAATTACATCCATTTAATTATTTAATGGACGATATAGTTGATGATTTTATTCAACAGTTCGAAATATTTTTCCTTTAATGGAATGGGGGAATGTTGTTAAATATTTGACAAAAGAAGGGTTTGGGTTTTATTTTACTATTCGTAACAGAAGGAGTCCATTGCAAAACAAATAAATACCAGTTACCATCTCTTCCCGTTCAATTAAGAATTATTATTTAATAATTTATTTATCTTATTATGCAACAATCTTTGTATTAATAAAAAAAAATAATAATTTTGACCGACTTGTTTAACTTTCATTTAATACATTTACAAATTAGGATCTTTGTATAATAAACAAATAGTCGTTAACAAATGAGATATATATTAATATTAATATTAATATTAATAATCTATCAACAATATTCTTACCTTTAAACTCCAGCCCACAATCCTTCACATGCTTATTATTCACAATATCTTTATATTATAAATACCACCACATGGTACACCAAATTCTCGATTACTTGTTTCATGTTAAAGTCTTCGTCCAATCGTTTATCGTGCCATTAATCAATTGCTGATGTTTAACTCTCTGTTTGTTTGCGGTATACTTTTTCATTTGTCAAATCTATTCTACCGGCTGCCTTCATAAATCTTTTGTAAATAGAGTCACCATTGCCGTTTGTAATAACATATTTGACATCAGAACAAACACACTTTCACATCAATCATTTGACCGTTATTGGCAGAATTTTATCTCTGACAAATAATCTCATAACACAGATCCTAATGCAGCAGTAAATCCGGCCACTGAATCACCTAATGAAATATTTGGTCTGACTGGTGGTTGGTTTGGGAAAACCATTTATATGTCGAAAGCCTACCATTGCCTATATTAATTAATATGTATGTGCATATGTAAACATAAACATACATGCACACACACACACGCGTTTACTTTATGTATAAATAAATGTATATATGGTGTTTGGGTACCTCGTAAATTGAAGCATATCCAGGTTTAACGCATATGGACCAGTTTGACCATATCCTAATACACGAATGTATATATCAATGAAGGATTAGTTTTAGAAAGCTTGTCTATTTAGAAATCAAAAAAATTCAATTAATTGTAATCTCATTATTATCATTATATGTATGTATATATTCCTTTGGACTGTTTATTAAAATGATCAAGATTCCATTTTTCCATTGTAAAATACTCGAACCATCATCAGCCAATTTACATAAAAGTCTTTTATAATAATAAATAATATTCCTTTTGGATTTAAAAATAATAATAGTAATGGATAATTACTTTTTTCCATCATCGGTACGGAACCAAGGACTTATCCCATCAATATCTAAATGTCTCCAAACTCCAGTTTTTTTTTGGTGGTTCTATTCTTATCTTTTAATTATTTATATATTTGATATTGATATTTGTTAACGATTTAATTTTTCAGAAATTAGTGTTAAAATATATTTATAAATAGTTACACAGGAATGGCACAGCTATAAACTAACTAAATAAATATATAAACAAGTTTGAATGTTTATTTTTCCTCTTCCTTATAGTAAAATAGTTGATAAAAAATTATCTAACCAACTAATTTATATTCAATACTGCCAAGTAAAATTAGTACATAACTCACCTTTACTAAATTATCATTATCATTGTTATCGTTTTCTTATTACTTTTAAAGAAGAATTAATAAAACCAATTTTTTTACGAGAGAAGAAATGGAATGGAAAGGTCGCTGAAATCATCAATTGAATTTTATTGCAAACGATTTTATTAAATTATTCATCACACATTTCCTTTTGGTGACCTCAGTGTAGTACTTGACCTATTACTTCTATTTTGGGAAGAAAAGGCCTTGTAAAACCTCAACTTATCCAATCATAGAGTTTATGTTCAAGGTTATTTCTTTTCCTTAAAAATAAATAAAATAAATATTACTACTGCACTACCACTGTCACCACCATCATATTGAATTGTCAACATTTTGCTATTTTGCCATAACCATCAATTATTATTATGGAGGAACCAACTCCGACATTAACAGAATTAAAGGAAATGACAATACTAGATGGACCCGCGGTTGAAAAGATTATGGACGGTTTTCTTTCTGCATTTAATAATGGATTGACAACAAATCATTTTACAATGATCCCTTCGTATGTTTCACGGTTACCGACTGGTATAGAGGTTGGAACTTATCTTGCTTTGGAGTTGAGTGATACATATTTGAGGGCAGCTGTAGTAACATTGATTGGCCTTGGCAAAACAGATATTGAACATAAACAGCATGAAATTCCTGCCGAATTAAAAAATGGAAATGTTGGTGATTTGTTTGATTGGGTGGCCTTAAACGTTAAAGAATTATTAAACGATGTGGGATGTGAGTTGGAAACTAAAGCTTTATATGCAGGGATTAATTTTGGTTTTCCAATAAAGTAAGAATTACGTGTTAGCATATACATATATTTAATTATTTATATGCTTACATTTGCATTTATTTATATTTAATAATAATAATATTATTAGGCAAACGGCAATAAATCGTTGTATTGCTATGCCGATTAAAAATGGATTAAATTTGATGGGATTAGAAGGCCATAACATAGTTGAACTATTACAAGCTGCATTTGTTCGAAAGGTTCAACTCAAAAATATGGTTTTTTTATTTATAAGATTTTTTTTTAAAGATATAATTTTGTTTGTTTTTTTAAATTATAATTACTTTTACCGTGTATGTATGTATGTATGTATATCTAATGCATACATACACACACACATAACAAACACACATATATAGAATGTCAAAGTTAATGTTACCGCTATAGCTAACGATACAGTTGGCACACTTGTAGCAAATGCATACAGCGATCAAAATACTATAATTTCAGTAGTTTTAGGTACGGGAACAAATGCAGCTTGTATTTGTACAACATCATCAATAACAAAAGCCAAATTCCCTTCAAATGCTCCAGATTGTATGATCATGAACACTGAATGGAATTTAATGGGAGTAGAGTTTCTACCATTTATAAAATATGATAGGATCCTTGATATGCAAAGCCCGTTCCCTAAACATAAATCTTTTGAAAAAATGGTTAGTGGGTTTTATCTAGGTGAATTGGTAAGATTAACAATTGTTGATTTTGTGAAAACTTATAATTTATTTGGTGGATTCTTGCCAGGAGGAATGGAAATACCTTACAGTTTTTCAATTCTACAAATGACTGAAATCGAAAGGTACCCAACTAATCAATTAATTATTATTAAATTTGAATTTGAATTTGATCAATTTAAATTAATATCAACAATATCAATATCAATTAGTGATAGATCATCTGATGCTAAAGAAATTTTAAATGTTTTATTGAAAGGATTTAAATTTCCTGATCAAAAAAAACCAACTAAAAAAGATATGCGGATAATATCTGAAATTGTTAAAATATATTCTACACGTTCAGCTAAATTATCGGCTGCAGCTATTGGTTCATTAATTAAATTCCAATGTCCAGATTTTCCTTTGGTTGAACGTGACGTTATAGTGGCAATTGATGGATCGATGTATCATAAATATCACAAATATTCTAGTCGAATGAGTGAATATTTAAGAGATATTCAACACATTGCAGAAGATAAAAGAACAAAATTAAGTGATATTGAATATGGTGGTTTCATAGGCATTGCAATAATTGCTATGATGTATTCTCAATATTAATATTATTAATACTATTATGGTTTGCCGATTATTACTTGATTTTTTTTCAATTTTAATTACATATATGTATAGATACTATATTTAAATATTTATTATTTCATATAATAATATTTATTTTTTTGAATATATATATATATAAATGTAAATAAAGTTAAAAAATTGATTCTTTAAACATTTGATTGCATAACAATAATAGATTTCCACAAGGGCTTAATATAGAGGAGTAAAACATAATTGATTAATTGGGGTATTTCCACAAAATTCAGACGGTGTTAATATTAACATAAAACGCAATTTTCCGCAACTTTTTGTTTTACTTTCGTTTTTGAATCCGTATATGGAATAAATACAAGAATGATGACAGTTTTATTGAATACAAAAAATTTTTTTAGAAAAAGGATGGTAGTTCGTTAATGGTTTCCAAAAGAAGAGTTTTGCCATTAAATGTGCCTGGAGAACACGTCCGAGTTTCATGAAGAACTGATATTCTCAAATTGGAAGTTGGTGTTTCTTTCAGAATAACACTTTTCTGTATATCATTATCACAATCATCTATTGCAATTGGCTCATCAAAAGATTCATATACCATCTTATTTTTTGTCTCAATTTGTTACATTGTTAGAGACCGGTTTCTTTCAGATGTAGCAGAGTTTGGCGGAATTGCATGAAGTAAAAACTGATGGGTTGTATACAAAATAAAACATTTTTGTTATTGATGGTTGCCATGATGAATTAGATTTAAAATAACTTTCCTTATACATGAATCAGGTGCCTTCAAAAATTATTAGATTGAGATCGAGATCGAGATTAATTTCGATTCTGCATTCAGAAATTTCCATATTGAGGTTGATTTCTATCTGAGATTGAGATCGACATTCAATATATATATTAAGTAATAGGTCAGTAAGATTGAACAAATAAATATGAATTTGAATTTTTAGAAAATGGAAGATATCAAAGTGCCAATTCATTTCTTTGATGTAAAGAGATGCAAAAGTTACATTTTTAATTTTTTATATATTAATAGTTGTCGATCATCTCAATTTTTGTTCAAATAGTGGTTGTATCCGTTGATTATCCAACACCCGGATAATCGATCAGTCAATAATAATAAAACTCAACATACGGATAATCGGTCATTCACCGAATATCCGCCGAGTACCCGCCGAATATCAACTGAATATCCGTTGAATATACTTTTTTTTTTTTTTTTTAAGAAATATAAATAACAACAGATTCAAGTTTATTCGTTCGGCTGTCATTGTGTTTCCAGCTTCACTAAATACAGTCAAACCTTGTCACAGCGGATGAATGAAGATTTATTTAAACCCCGTTGTGGCAAGATTTACTGATCTTGCCACAATGGATTTTTATATTTTAATGTGAATGTGTAGCAAAATTTAAAAATCCGTTATGACAAAGGTCGCTCATTTGAAGTAGAAGTTACTGCAATGCATAAATATTCTTTAAATAATAATGACACAGTTAGTATTCATATATTACTTGATATATTATTATAATAGAAAGAATGTTGGTGATAATGTAATAGTGGATAAAATAGTATATTAACATGTTAATGCATTCTTTCAATTACGCGGATAAAAATTTTTATTTTTATATTTCTGTACCACGATTATTCCGGTGAAAATTTTCAACACCCGATTAACCGGATAATCGGTGAATAATCGGTGATTCAAAAAAATCGATGAGACAGTTTTTAGAACAAATATATTAATTAGTTTCGTTTTATTTCTTAAAATATTCATTACATACAGTATATATAAAATAACAACAAGAAAAATATTACATTATTATTATTTATAAATAAAAGCTTAATAAATTAATCTAAACATGTTCAAAAGATAATAATAAAAGAATAATAAAATGTCTATTTGTAATTTCCAGGGATGACAGTTGGACATCCTTCAGTACTCTCATTAGTATTACATTTGCTTTTATCAGAACAACAACGGATACAGAAACGTTTATCTTTTGGTTCGATTAAGCTCACGAATTTTACAAAACCATTTCCCACACACTTTGCACCTGGTGGAGATCCTACACTATCGTATTGACCACCATCATCATCTGAATGCAATTTGTATGCGCCTGGATTGATTCTACCAGTATATTGAATGAATCCATCTCCAGATTTGAAATGTGATGATGCAATAAGTCCGTCAGGAATAGTATCGACGTGACCCGTTACTCCTGGGGGTTTATTTGTATTACAGAATGGTTTAGCATCTTTTTCGTGATCAGAAATATAACCTCCTGGTGAAGGAGGAAGGTATATGCACATAGTGTCAGCGTCTAATGTAATTTCGCTTTTAGATGCAGAGTCAAGAGGAACTCCATGAGCGAATAATGTGACATTTGCGAGGACCAAGAAGATGATGGATAATTTGGATAATTTGTTCATTTTCGTAATTTTATAATTTAATATTTAGTTTTTTTTTTTTACTGATAATTATTATTATTATTATTATTATTATTGTTATCGTTATTTTGTACAAATAATTAATAGCAAAGAACTTTTTTTTTGATGAATTTGAAGCCTATATATACGTGTTATTTCGCAGAAACATGATGTACTAATTGTTGTATATTTTTAGAAATTTAATTTATGGAATAAATGAACGGTTTTGTTTTTAAGAGGTTAGTTAATAATAAATTTAGTGGATTTTTGAGTTTTTAGAAAAAAATCAGGCTGTTAGTTTGAATGAATGAATCCTGACAATTTATTAAAAAATTTCTATAAATAATTGCTTCATGAATAAAACAAAAATAAACATTCTAAAAACGGATATATGAAAAATGCCTGATGACTTCAATCGACTGTAATTTCGTGGAAATTATTTCATTACACCTACCTTATATGGATATTTTTATTACTATCATACGAATTGTGTTGATATTTGACAAAAAATGAAGCTATATCACAATGTTAATATTAAAATAAGGATATTTTTTTGGCTTAAAATCAAAAGAATGTATTAGATAAGGGAACATTATTTTATATATATTAATATTAATACAATCAAACTCCATTTCAACGAATCTATAAAATTAAGAAATTGCATGCAAAATTATTAATTTTCATTCATATATTTTTAAAAATTTGTGTGACGCTAATTTAAGTATCCCTTAGTATTCTTTAATGGTAATACAAAATCAACATTAGTGGTCAATTTAATGATCAGCAACGTAAAAATAGTCAATCAACCAACTTTTAAAAGAAAGTTATGCAAAAACCACAAGACAATACCCGAATTTTTTTTTATAGACCGATCGGCTATATCTCAGAGATCATTTTCATATTATGAGGTGATCTGCTTGGAGAGAATTTTATATATCAGAAAAATTTTATCGACTATCAATAGCCGATTACCGTTTAAGGGATAATTCGTTGAAACAAGATCGTTTGTTTGGACTTAACGTAATGACTAAGTAGTTTATTCACAATTAGTATTAGGGTCTCTATTCGTAATATAATTCTTATTTGAATTATTCGTTTTATTCGTTTTATTCTTTTTATTCGTTTTATAAAATATAGGTCTTACTTCTTTAGTAAGATAATATAAATTACAATAATTATATTCGTATTATATTCATTCATTAAATTAAATTTAATATCTAAATTTATTAACTAATCAATGCTTTTTGGAATTAGTAAAATACTAAAATGGACTGACGCCATGGCCAATCCTGGGTTGGTTTTTATTCGAATTAAAAAAATTTATTTTTAGTATTAATAAATCTTGTTCCCCTAGTTAAGCCAAGACAATTATTACCAAATTAGGAATTTAACATCTTTACGTGATCCTGGTTGTAGTACTGGAATCTCCAAACTTATGAAGTCATGTCATATTCTGGGTGATTTGCCGTAAATCAAAATTTAACGATTAAATAAAAGTTTTTGCTTGCTGCATATGTCAGTAAGTGTAATCATTTAATATTTTATTAATAGCAATGGATCCAACCCAAATTAGTTGGTCTCGATGGACCCCAGAATTTTGGTATGCTGCCGACCAGTTAAAGAATGTAATTATATAATCAAGAATTTTTTGGATTGTTTATTAACTTTAGCATAGATATCGTTGGCAGATCTTTCTAACATTAAACAATAAAAAAGATATAAATAAAATTCATGATGAAAATAATAAATAAAACTTATGATAAAATCATCCGAGAACATGAAATTCACGATAAATAAGCAAACTTGATAAAAATAATTCATTGTACAAAAAATACAAATGATAACTCATACTAACAAAGAAATGTAAATATTATTAATAGATTCAGTGTTATCATATTTTTCCTTTGTTATATTTTTATAATTATATAAATTAATTTTTTTCTTTAATGTATGAAAAACTTATTAAATGTGAATTTTTTTAATGTTGCTTGATATGAATTTGGATAAGTATCGTGCCATTCGTTAGAACTTTTTAATATATCACTAATTTGTCATTTGCTAATCCAAATTCTTGTCTAAATCGATCTTTTTTATTCGATTCTTGTTGTCAAAGATCATTGCTAATGGGTCGTAACATTACGATCTTGGGTATTGCCTTATAGAGCAATTGTTCGGATTTTGGTTTTTCTCGCATACAGGTCTTTCTAAGCAGATACAGTAAATTATGCATCCATCGTGACAGAATGTGAATGGCTTTATTGCATGAGGAACATGGAAACGAAACAGCCTGTTTTAATTAGACTTGATGTTGGCTATTTGTTGTCTCAACAAATCTAATTCGAATTGCAAGTTTGTCATTTGCTTTTATATAAGATGCAAATTCCTAGTTGTATTGGTCCGAAATTGGCTTGCAGTAAACTTTATTATAATAAATTTTAATAAATGTCCACATCAAATTTGCATACATGCATTTTCCGCGAACAAACAATGTCATGTAACTTGATTTTTGTTTTCAATTTATTTCCTAGAACTGAGATTCTTTCTTGACAGAAATCATCCATTATAATTCAAAAGTATGATCATGCATTTATTATATCAATAAAATATCAACGTAAACTTTATAAAATGTATATAAAAGATGGTTTATTTCCTTTAGTTCTGCAATTTCAACAATTTCTTTAATTAAAAAATAAAATAGTTTAAGTATTGTGTATCTAAAAAATCATATAAATCTAAAGCTGGGCCGAGTTTATACTTAACATAAAAAAAGCACTAGCTCGAACTCGATAAAATCACGATTTTGCAGGCCACTGAAAATAATAAAGTAAAATAACAATAAAAGTATCTTTGTTATAATTAATTTATAACATACTTGAATCTTGGAACATTTAAGCCATCACCAATAATTATATGACAGACTAAAAAATTTCAAATGAGAACAATTTAAGATTCGTGTTTTAACATTATTTGTACTTTTAATGAAAAATGTTTTTTAAATTCTCATACAGTTAATCTCTTGTTTCAACAAATCTAGCATTTAAAATTCATTATACCAAACTTACCGATCACGTTTCAACGAATTTAATTATAATTCACTGAAACAAGGTTTGACTGTATAATAGATAAAATTTTACAATGTTTGCTCGGATATTTGTTGAGAATTAAAACGAAATCTTTATCATTATTGAGTTGAGCTAGAGTTTCTATTCATAACAGCAATCTTAATATTAATCGTTTATTCGTTTTATTCGGTTTATTCGGATAGAATCCCCAAGTTGAGCAGGCTCGAGTTAAAACTTGGATTTTCGCAAACAAAATAAAAATATGAAATACCTAAAAAAAAATCTATGCCTATTATTTCTTGTTTCGATAACAGTTGAAACTTAGTGTAGTTGATATTTTTCGAATATAATTCTTCTCGAATTTTTCGGGTGGTATATAATAACTTAGTGGTGGCCGATTTTCATAATCATTTGCAACTTCACAAACAAATGCAAAGTATGATGGAATTTATAAATAAAATTTTATGAAACGCTATCTTTACAAAATGGGAAAATGTCAATGTCATCATCGGAAAGATTCTTTATCAGTTACTATTTTATTTTTGAGAAATGTCCACGGTCGATACACACCATCATACTTCGAATGATTCTATATTGCAAAGATAACGAATAGATAATTATAAAGAATATACGTACTTGTATTTAGGAAAGCTATCCTTTTTTTTTCCAAAAACTGGTTAATTTCCTTTTTCTCCTCTTTAATGGAGCACACCTCAAGGGCTTGACCCCAGAATTTGATGTTTCAATATCATCTATTATACAACTAAAATAAGGCTTTAGTTTGTTACCCATACTTTTATTTAATTCTAAAGTATCATAATAAATTATTTTACTAGAAGCTCATCCTAAATAGATTATTTCAATAAATCATCCCTTAATTTTCAATCATTTTCCGTAATCCTTCAATTCGTCACGTTTAAATTCTATTGCCTCATTAACATATTGGAAATTTCATTTTCCTGATGCTATCAATCAACAGAACCAAAACAATTTAGCAATGTTGTTTTGATATACATATGTTTAGCGAAGATACTTACACTTGGTTCGTTCACTTCATTACAAGAACCCTTTTGAAGCTTTGTCTTATTATCGAGATTATCAATGTCTGCTGGTTTTTCCCGAGTAATTCATCAAATAATTTATGAGGTTGTAAATATAACAAGAATTCAATCATTCGTTACAAGAGAATGTGAATTTGAATGGCTGATCAGATCATTGAAATTTGCGATATGTCATTTAGCAATAAGAGCCTTCCTGACTATAGAAGTTTGCCTAAACTAAAATGTGATAATGCCGAAACTCGGAAAAAAAAAGGTTGTAGAAACTAATACTCCGA